CTGCCTGGCTGACGGCACCCTGAGGAGACCCACCCTGTGGGAGCGTACTGGTCGATGGGAGGTGATCTGCGGCAGAAGGCGGTCTCGAAGGTATCCAGGTCCGATGCCATGGAGCGCTTTAAAGATGATAGTCAACACCTTGAAGCGCACCCGGAAGGCCACAGGCAGCCAATGCAGCTCGCGCAGCAGCGGCGTCACACGGGAACGCCGAGTCCCCCCCAACACCGCCCGCGCGGCCGCATTTTGGACCAGCTGGAGCCTCCGGGTGCTCCTCAAGGGGAGCCCCATGTAGAGAGCATTACAGTAGTCCAGGCGGGAGGTGACAAGTGCGTGAGTGACCGTGCGTAGGGCGTCCCGGTCCAGAAAAGGCCGCAACTGGTAAATCAGGCGAACCTGATTATAGTAAAAGGTAAAGAACTATCATGTCACATGTTCATATCAATAATTTCTTGAACATATAAACATACGTTAAAGAACTATAATTAGCACTAGCTTTTTGAAAGTAAGGACCAAACTAGATGAACATCATATATAACAATCATGTGGCTTGGGTTAGGGCATGAAGCTATAAAGCAGCTATAGTGGCTAAGCCAAAGGCAACATACAGTACAATATGTTCAGTATGATATATAGACCAGTCAATATAGGCTTTTTAAAAGACTTTTAAATTTGGAATCTGATTTTCTTCACTACCGTTCCAATCCACGAAAGTTTACATACGTAGAATTTCTTTTGGAAAATTTATGTCGTCTTAAGTAAATCAGAGACTTTATTGCAATGCCAACAGCAACAACCAATCAGTTGAGAATACAAAAAACAAAATATAAATTTATTCCTATTACTACTTTTAACGAACAGCATCTTGTCCAACTTGGTCCTTGGAAGATTCATGTATTTATTGCCAAACAATAATTGTAATGCACATTACTTGGGCTGCCTTTGAAGATAATTCAGAAACTTCATTTAGACAGCAATGGTGTGGATGCTGGTAGGTGAGAGACACTTTGCCAATATAACCTATAGTTGCTACGTTGGTTGCGAAAACCTCCCAGGTCTACTTCAAAGTGTTACTTTTAATCTTAAACCTTAAATGGCTCAGCCCCTCATTACCTTTGTACCATTTATTCTGAATAGAATTTGCTCATCCTGTGCAGCCATGCTAGGTGTATATGCTTAGGGTCTCTATTCCACAAGAAGGAAATGGTAGTGCAAAGCCCAATTTTGGCAGCAAATCAAATATTATGGACCATTAACCTCTGAGGTGCAATTAATTCCCGCACTGCTATTTTTTGTAAATCTAAATTTTTTTTGAGATGGGTGATATCACCATCTCACCAAAATCACCAAAAATGGTGATAATGGGCTGCCTCATTTGTTTCCTTTTGTCTTCTTTTGGAATTAGGTTTTTTAAATTACTATTTCTGTTTATGTTTCCTGTGACTGGGTATATGGAAATAGTTATAGTATTAAAAGGGCAATACCATTTAGTTCTATGGGTGCTAACTATAATAAAACTGCCCTATCAGAAAGTTTTTATTCTGATCATTTGTTTTGTCTTGAATATATATTTATATTTTTGTATTTTATTTTCCTATAAAGTATCTTGATTCCTTCGGGGTTCACAATATACAAATGTCTATAAATAGTGATTACACACTACAATTGACACACATGAATGCAAGTATTCAGTGTAAGAGGGAGCAGGAGTGGTTTCCAATATTTTCTTCCTAAAATTAATGCCCCCATGTGCTTTTTAGTCAGCCAAATTTATATTTTTAATGTGAAATGTGGATGAATACTTAAACCCTTCGTAATTGTTGATTACATTAACTAAGCTCTGTGAAAGGCCTTTGTCGAATCAAGTTCTCTATTGCAAACTTTCTTCATTTTAGGCCTCATCTCACTATACTGAACTTACCTCCATCTTCAAAAGGCCCAACATTTCCTATAAAAGGAAAGGGGAGGACGGTTGCTGTGATTGGGTGCTTCTGCATCATGTGGCTTGAGAATGGGGGGAGAGGGGAGGGGAACTCCATTAGCTCTTTGTGAGCAGTGGCAGTTAGAAGTGTTGCCTGGTGCTGGGTGATGCTGCTTGCAGGCCTTAGTTCCACCAACATCTTTCTTTCTACCCAACTGACATCATGCAGGCTGCTGAGGGGCAGCAGCTGTTTGATCCTGTCTCATTTGGAAAGGACCTCATGATAGGTGGGGTGGCAGCTGCTATTTCCAAAACAACAGTAGCACCCATTGAACGGGTGAAGCTCCTGCTCCAGGTTCAGGCCTCATCCAAACAGATCCGTGCAGACCAGCAATACAAAGGCATGATAGATTGCTTTATACGCATTCCTCGGGAGCAAGGTATGTTAGCCCTAGAAATAGTTCAGTGTTATTGTGGCCAAGATCCTATGTTCTAAATCTTTCTCTGCCATGAAGACAATAAGTTAAGGGTTTTAGTTTTCTTTTAGATATTTTATTATTTATGAAAAAATATTGTCATCATCTCTGCAAGGCAACTCTTGAACCACAATTTAACAGAACCCTTGATTAGTGGCTATGTGAGTAGCACAGGCATTGTAATATTTGCAGTAGATTTCCACTAGTTAGTTGGCATTACAGTGTCATTTATACACAACACTCCATCTGTGAAAGGGATGGTGAAAATTATAATAAAAACATCCAGCAAAACCTAGGTTGCCTACACTTGCATGCTTCAATTCCATTTCTCCAAATGGCAATAATCTTAGCCTAGTGGTAATGGATTAGTTTGAATGTATATGAATTCTTTAAGCATCAGTCATCTTATTGAAACAATTCTAAATATATCTAAGTTTACCTGCCAGCTTTCAACTGAATCTTTGCCATGAATGCATGGGATTGATTGCTAGTCTGTACTTAGTATACATGCAGAAGTTATTGATAAAATAGTATATAGTGATCTATTTAATTCTACAAATAACAATATAAATTTCCCATTGCCACATCCATATAACCTGATGCCATTTCTGTTTGAAAGTTAGGCCCACTAAGTACAATAAAATTTTACTACCAAGTGATTTTTTTAGAAAACAACAACTGTGTTTTCTTCCCTTTTAGATCTTACAATCTAAATTACCGGTTGGTTTTTCCAAGTAGTGTTGTGACAGAATTAGCAGAATGTGAATTTATTCATTTTAAAATATGTTATTTAGTATATTTTTTCCATTATAGAACTCAAGAAGAATATGTAAATTCTCAAGTAATATCCCATCCAGCATGTTTGAATGCAAGAAAACGATATCTTTTGGCCTCAGGGAATTTTTGTGAAGTTCTGCCATTGTGTGTGTGTGTCTGTCTGTCTATGTATGCTGTGATTATATATACTTAAGTGCTTAGTTTTTGTCTTTATGGTTTCATATTGCATTGATGATTTAAAATAATAAATCTTAGCTATAGTAAATAGTATCTAATATTTTATCTGCATGGTTGGAATATACTGAATTTGAAACATAATAAGGTTTTCTTTCCATGTCTAAGCCAATACATTCCCTCCTCCCCATCTCTCTCTCTCTCTCTGTCTTTATCTTATGTGGAATTTTAATCTAATAATTAAAATTCTAAATATTTTAGACTATAGTCTTAATTTAGTATGCAAACAGAATCAAACGGACTAGGTGTGAGCTGCTGCTGTTTGGGAGTAATTTGCAGCAGAATAAATCCAGTAACATTTTATAGAAAAATAAATACTGGAGTACTATACAGATTTATATAGAGGTTTTAAACATCTGACAACTAGGACTTGGAATATATATATGACAGATATTGTTATTCTGCTGATTGATCCTCTTGAATTTGTTGAATATAGT